CGCGCAATTTTCACGAGAGTTGTACGTTCCGATCGTCGCAAAATAACGCGCCACTTTTTATCGTCTCGCTCTCCGAAATAATGTCACCGCATAATCATAAAGTTTTATTAACGCCATAGATGACGTTCGCATCCTTGACGCACTTCGAAAACGCGAATATTCCGTTCATAACTCTTCGTGTTAAAATCGAGTAAACAGTCGCGAATATCGATTTTATGGCAGCGGCCTTTGTGCGGATTGATCGCATCGCGTTGCGCTAGTTACGTACCTGCGACTCGTTCAAGAATGAAATATCTAAAATTCGCACGTTCTAAATTTTTGCAAAATATGTATCGAATAAAAAGATCTGATGATAGACACAAGGTCTTTAAACAGCAGGGAGATATCTATGTAGTATGTTACACAAAATTGAGTTTCTTCAATTTGAATGAACACAATCCAATGTATATGAGATCGGGAAGATATCGGGAGAGCTAATGCTTTCACGAAGATTCACGATATCGCATTTCGGCTCTTTGTTGGCAGAGTTTATTGTACGTTCAATGAGAAAGAATATTTGGACGTGCGTTGAATGGGAGAACCTTTAAAACTGGCTCACAACAAATGCAAATATGTGCGAAAACTCAACTTTATTTCGGGACGAGATTCACAGGCGTTGGGCTTTTACGAGATCCCGAGTCTCGCGCAAAAATCAAACAACGAATAAATTAAATTAACCATTCAATAAATTCAAAGCCAAATTGTGCGGACGATCGTAAAATGTGTTGATAAAAAGTTTATCGTAAAAGTTTAAAACTTTATTCTTTGTAATTGTGACGTAAAAAATGCGGTAAACTGAACTTTCGAGAAAAAAAAAACTATTATTATAATCAAACAATTGTTTCATTAAATCAGTACAAAAATTTCGAAGAAAAATTTCGTTTCTATGGCTCGTAAATGTCTTTGTATCTAGCGTGCGTCTACGATTTTATGTGATGTTCTATAGAGTCTCTTCAAACGAAATAACTTTTTGAGAATATCACGTCTCCCTTATGTCGAGTCATCGATTTAGCAGGTAACAATTTTCGGAAACGTTACTCTCAGCGAGCGCTGTAGTACGAGCGCGAGAGATAGCGGCGGGAGATGAGTCACGCCGCTTAGTTAAATTTCAACATTCGAAAATTACAATCTCTTGGAGTCCACATACACACAACGTTACGATATCCAGATTGCTCGTAAACCATTGCGAAGGAAGGTGTGTCAGAAAGAACGCGCCGGAACGCTCTCTATTTTTTAAGTCGATATCTATCCGGAACCCGCTTCCTGACGGCAGTTCCGATAAATCGCGACCACGAACGATTTGTTGCGACGTGGAAACGGCTCATAGGTCATATCATATTTTTTCCGTCTCTTTTTCTCCTTCGAGCGAGAAAAATCAAGATAAATGTTACGTTTGTTTGTTAAACGAACACGAGTAACTTTTGCTGATATATATATATAACTTATTACGGTTAATTGCTTTTATATCTCACTTGAAAACGTATTTAACGGTTTACTTTAATGTTGTAATTTTGTCTGATTTTTCTCTATTGATTGTTTCTCTCGCAGGGAAAGAAAAATTCGAAGACGCCGCAGAGAGCGTAAGAAAACGAAAATAACCAACCAACGACTAATGGAATTCATGAGAAAATTCATGGAGAGAAAGCGTTTCTCGGTTGTAGCTGAGATCGAAAAATGTTATTCATCGACTTTAATGAAAGAAAAAATATTTTAGCTTTCAATTTATTAATAAAACAAATATTTTTGTACTAACATAACAAAAGATATTTCTCTAGCAAACTTGTATAAGATTCCATTGCGAAAGTATCATTGTTCGATATTTTATCAAGTAAACTACTTGTCGCGTAAACAATTTACACGCTTGGTGCTTTCTTCTTCTCCCCCTCGGCAGCGTGTAATGTTTTTACTTCTTGTACATACGGAAAAAAGTTTAGCCAGAATAGCAAGAAGGTTAGTTATTACATGGCCAAGAATAGTTTGAGTCTGAATTTTTTGTCCTTCACTAACAAAACATTTTGTTGGTGAAGGTCAGGCGCTTATCAAATTTTTCTTGCTGGTCATGTAGCAGCAAACCTTTTTTCCTCGCGCAAACAACTATACGTATTGGAAACGGATACGCAGTTCTTTGTCTGCGATATCTAGTCTATCGGCGAATGTGTGGCGAATAAACGTTTACTTTTCGCTTCATATCCATGTGCTTAGTATTCATGGTCCATATATAATATATATATAATATATGCAGATTCGATATTAGTGATGCATACGTCTCGAACGCGGAAAAGTGCCGATCTATCTATTCCTTTAAATTCAATGTGAAACTTCGAGATGATGATTCAATTGATAATATCTTTCAATTGTGTAAAAAGTTCATCACGCGAGTGTTTTTTCTCCGCTAAATAGCGGGAAAAATGCAAAAGCGAATATCAGTTTATAAAAGAAATATACGGTTGATCGAATTTTTATTTGCATTTGCTCTTCTCGCTTTTCTCTACGCCACTAAATCACTTTCCAAATGTCGCAATCAATCAAGTGTCTAATTACTGGTAAAATTTAGTTTTATTTTATTTCGATCGAAATTAGAGCCTAGTGTGATCTCGTCTTTATTTTAATATTGTTAAATAAAAATAAATAAATAAAAGTGAGACGAGGATGTAAGATTTCCTCTTTTATTATTGTTTTCGGTTTGCAATAACTATTAGATCCATAATTTTAAATAACGTTAACGAGGGATTTTTAAGGCTGTGTCCAGCCTCGCGCAACTATTCCTTCGCGACTTCTTGCGATCTTATATAACGCTCCCCATATTTATTATCTCGGGGGGGACGGTTCGCGCGAATGTTTCGCCGCAGCACCCATGTTTCATGCGATATGAATAATAATCTATGAGATGACTACATCGCTCGCATGCCTCACACGAGCGTGAGCTAACGCAGTTAACACAGTTTCAACCGGACAATGTTGTGCTAACACACATATTGTAGTTTTCAACGTCACGTTCGATTTTACATTGTGTGTCTGCGCGAATTGACGTTATTTGAAAAGAAAACATATCGGTTTCAAAATCTCCATACGCGCACTAATATTCACGAATTGTCTCACGTCACACTTACTCGATATTCGAACAGCTGAAGAAAAAATGATTCGAAGTGCTAATCGCGAAAACAAAACGTGTCCAATTGCAAATTCCACGACGAACCGACGGCGAAAAAGCTCGCGTGATGTTGGCTCCCGCTCGTTAGGCGAGGAGCGAGGCAAAAGTTACGCAAATATGTGCGGACAACGTGGGATGGGGATGGGATGTAATTACAAGCGAGGGCGCGGTTGCCTCCGCGCGGGCTTCAGCCCTTTTGCAGCCGTAGGGCCAATCCTGCGAGCCGAACGTTCCGCTCGTAAAAAAAAGCGCCGCGAGTGTCTCAATTATCGCGCCATTTACGCGGAAATAAAAATTCCCTCCCGCGGGACAATTTATCGCGCAATAAATAATATTATTGCGCGTACCGTTGCAGAAACGTTCGGTTCGGCATGTTTTATTCAACGGCCACTCACTAGTAGTCGGCAAAAGATCGAGGAAGCATCGCGAATGTCGAAATCTTGGAGATAGAAAATTTTTCGACGATGCGCACTTCGTCGGATTATTATATCATCATACATCTTTTCATATTTCGTATTTATTGCATGAGGATGTTTTATGCCGAGATCGAATCGAAATATTTCCCGCGCGCGCGCGATTTATGGAATACAAGATTATTGACGCAATAATTTCACCGAGGGGCGTTTTGGTTTTTCTAAATCTATGCACTCTTTACATTTTAATGATCACGTATGTATTATTCATTCACTCTCGTCATCTTTTATTAATATCTGAAAAAAGAACAAACGGCATGTAAATAATAATTTTCGCATAGCTCTGCTTTCCCATCTTAAAACTCGGTTAGTTTAAACATGCGAGCGTATAAATTTCAACGCAAAAGATTACAAATATGTTACACAAACTTTGAATATCTTACGCGCAAAGAGAATATTGTACAAATTTTAACGTCTTCTTTTAAAATGTTAAATTCTCGCGTGACAAAAATACTAGAAATTATTTCATAAAAAAATTATTTCTCGTAATTATTTCCATCGAAAAGTTTTTTATTTCAAAGTTTTTTATTTTTTCAAATCTCAATATTCACGAGTTTCCTCCAAATTGCCGATAACACACACGCACGCACGCACGCACACACACACACACACACACACACACACACACCGCTTCACATTTTTCCGTAACTTTTGGAATGACGCCGCGATGCGAGATGTACACACAGTCCGCATCGAGTATACCGTCCTACTTTAAAATGCAATATGCACAACGATAGTACCTCTCTTGTTGGGGTCGAGTGGACACTCGTTTCTTCCGTTTCGTTTTATTACTCACAGATACATATCGATAATATCAAATTGTTCAATATATATATACATATATATATATATATATATATATATATCAACGTGTGTGAATTAGCAGATTAGCTCGTAAAAATTACATTAAATTCAAAGATAAAAAACGCAGACATGCCGTTAGAAAAACAATCTCGGTTTTGATTCAAGTAAAAAAGAGGAGCTTAAAACAGAAGAAAGCAATTTAAAACGATGAATAATAATTTCGAATGCAGCGTGTAACACAGCGCTCAGCTTAATTAAAATTATCGTGTGTCGATATCAACGAAACTTCATACTGTACGCGATGAGGAAAGGAAAAAAAGAAGAACGACACGCAATATTTCGATACTGATTGCAATTTGTATCGACACAGGTTGCAAAACCGCGATGTTTAAACGCGTGCTCGCTCGACCCTCTCGGTGTATCTCTCGTTCTCGGCAACATGCTGCGCCGGCTACGATATATTTATATACCTAGACCATTGTGTATTCGTATAATAATCAAAATTTGAAACAAGACGCAGCTGATGAACTTACTTGTTGTAGAGTACTATGTCGGGCCGCCATATGTGATCGGATGGCACGTGCAGCATTTGAACTCCTCCGTACTCCTTCGGCTCCCATCGCAGTTTGTAGTCGTACCATGACTTGAAACAGCCAATATAACAAATAAACATATTATTAACATGCTTCCATCGAATTGCCAGAACGTAACAATAACGTAACAAATATACGTTATAAAATTATAATAAATAAACAAATAGAATGTGATCAATTGATTCACAATAATATATTTACGTAATAATTATTTGCTATTATCTCATTATTACAATTGTATTTTATCATTTCAGATTCTTTAATCGCAGAATGTTGTCAAAACAAATTTACAAATATTAATCCTTCGCGAACAGACATAGATCAGACCCAGACTCGAAAATTGCGCATCGGCGTCTCTAGTATAAATTAGTTTTCTTTAAACGCTTATATCTTCGAAACTACTAGAGATGTTTTCAATTTGTCTTTTTTTTTTATCGACGCAGAATCGTTCAAACTTTTGATTAAAAAACACAAAAATGAAAAAATATTGATTTTTCGCAGAGATATTCGATTTTAAAGTCGCGCGGATCTCACAGACTGTCTAACTCGTCATTTTGAGGTCATTTTTGAGGTCTGTCCGCGAAAAGTTAAAGATAATTACGTTAAACTGCAATTATGATGTCATTCCGATATAATTTCTATTTCTCGTTCTATTTGTTCTTTGTATATTCCGGACCGAGTGTTGCCCCGAAATTCACACGTAATTTCTTATGATAATGATTTCTACTGCTTTGTGAAGTAAAAGCTGACATTCTCCCTGATGGTTAGCGTCGCAGGCTAAAAACCCGAGAGACGGTGCAGCGCACTTTTCCCCGCAAATATTTCCCGCCGGCGTTTTCCTATGAAAAACCTTCTTTGTATGTGATTCGAGTGAGAATTTATTCTGTGCAACCGGTGAATATCCGAGAACAAGCTGCTCTTGCCATCTCGTGTTTTCCACGTTTTTCTTTCAATGCACGAAGATTTCATAAGGAGTTTCTCCAAAGTCCCGAAGCAATAATTTTCCTTTGTGACAAATTTTATTTTCATGTAATTTCTTTGTACACTTTTTGCATTTGGATATTCACGTAAAATCTCGGAATTAATTTCTCCGCGTGACTCTTGTGTCAAATCAAATTTTTGTCGGCAATTTAAAATAGTTTCCACTCTTCGTAGAAAGAAATCGTACGTAAGACTCGGAAAACGAGTCACGTAATTTTCGTTTCTTACCACACAAGTGTACGTGCGCAGTTAACGGACACACGACCAAAACAGATTTGCGAAATTATCCCGCGATGGCGTCAGTAAAAATTCGACGGTTCTTTCGTTCTTCTAAACGATCTCACTCACGAGAAGTTGATTGCACATTGTCGCGCAAGTCCTCATCGCATGATAAGTAATGTAAATACGTGACTCTGCCACAATTCTAATAGGAATATTAAATCTCTCAGAAATTTGACGAAATATTATCGCAGCTATTTATGTGTCTGTTACTCATGACGTATCGAGATGTACGCGTATGACAGTCACCCTAATTACGCAAAACATTTATCTAGGTTACCTAAACACTCGACGACGCGCATACGGCTTCGGTTTATATTATGCATAGGTGTATGTCTACGGCTTCGCAGATTCGCTCTTATGTACCAATGACGATGTAATCTATAGTTCAAGTATTATAGCTGGGTAATTAGATGCTCACACTCGGATCAATTATTTCGGCGGATCAAATATTCCGCCTTGACTAAGTCGGTTATAAGTTTTAACGCGTGGAAATTAAGTTGATTAAGATATCTGAGATAAAAAAATCTTTTAGACATTTTAGCCGATATTTATAATCGAATCTTGTGTTTAACCCTTTAACGATGTTTGAGGAATACTCGTCATGTGAAAAAATAAAATACCTTTTGCTGTAAAAATTGAAATTTTTTACAAAAAATAAAAGATGTATTTCTTTTATCAAAAAAAAAAAAAAAAGAAATCAAATGGGCAATAACTATTTGCATTTTCATGAAAATACTGTTGTGTTTGACGTAAATGAGTTAACATTGCACGAAATTGAAGTCATTTACTGTGAAAATTGTCGCGTTTTCAGTCTAATTATTTCTTCGCTTGTGAATCTGAATCACGAACAACGTGTTTGTTAGTGTAAAATGCCATTTTGGCGACCAAACTACATTTGAACAATGCAAAACACATAATAGTGTTAATTAATAACATTTGTTATATTTATGAATTTTTGAATAATAAAATTATATTGGTTTTTTAAATAATCCATCTCGTAATATTTGCCATTTTGTTATAATTAATTCAAATTTCAAAACAATAGGTATATTTACTCTACGTTTGACGAGTATACTCGTCATTGCTTGATTTTAATTAAGCAAGCAGATATACACTTGCAAAACGAAATTTCAAAGGATTAAAATCGTCTTAAATTTATCTTCAAATAAATTCTGCAACGACTATAAAACGACTCGTACCTTCTGAAGATAAACTCAAGACGATCTTAAATATAAAAACGGATGGGTCTCAGATGCGCACAAAATAAATAGGATACAGCAGGATATCTCAATCAGACACAGACTCAATCGGACACGAGTTGAAACAGACACACGACGACACTCTCAATCGGACACACTAGTATTAAAACAAGACTATTTTTATGCTCTTTTTGTTCGTGTTTTTGTAAGTGTGTAGGCAGGGCGAACTACGCCCTGCAAGGAGGGTTACAATTCGTGTCCGTTTCAACTTGTGTCCGAGAGTGTCGTATGTCCGATTTATTAATACTGTGTCCGATTGATTTTGTGCGCATCTGGGACTCACCCTAAAAACCTATCTATAAATATCATTTGTTACAAAAAAAAAAAAAAGAAAATTGATGCGCGTTTCATTTGTCTAGTTGTATTGTATTCGAACAATAGCGTCCTAATAAAGGCCCCCTCGTACATCATATTTATGTCTATCGTGTTTTACGCCATGCGTCCAACCCCTGCCAAACATTTAGCGCGCGCTCCAGTTTGACATTCGCGCAGTATTATAAATTATTTCAACCTCCGCGTGTTAATACCCACACACACACACACACACATGTATATATGGCAATATATATATATACATATATATACATATACATATATATATATATACATATANTGATTGGCCTGATTTACTCAATAATTACTCCTTTATTATAAATAATAGAAAAAAATGGTTCAGGACTTTTCGACTCAGTTTTATTTCTTCTACCTGCCTACGAGAGATTGTACGGCAATTCTGGGACACCCTGTATATTGCCATTAATATATTTAAAGCACCGGTACGCCTCGTTATACGGTTTGTGCATTTAGAGAGATCGTATAGATTGTGAAGTACGGTGATTTATGGGCCCCAACATATCCGGCCTCGCTAAGTAAATATACATATTTCACACGCATCGTGTGTTACATCTAGTATAAGCATTATACGATCGTTGAGCGACGGTTTTATCCACGTTTTCGTGCTGTTACATATAACATCTTTGAGCAAACTGTTTTCGATCACACAAAAAGAGTAATTACATCTCAGTTCGAAAAAATATCAGCGATTATTAAATCGCTGAAGTTATTCGCTTTGCGAGCAAAGAGGGTCATCAACCCCATTGAGTCTACAATTTTCTCTCGCTCATTCGTCCTTTCGTTTCACGGGACATTTCAACTCGCTCGATTGCTCACGGACATGATTGCACCTACGCACACACACACACACACACACCCACGTCCGCGCGTAAGCACGCGCAGATATTTTCCACTTACAAGGAGCAAACGGAAGGAGGAGGAAACATACGTGCCTCCCATATGCTGGAAAATATTGAAGCAGAAAATTGTGCATTGCGCGGGATTTCACAGAATCGCTGAAGAGAGCGACGAGTAGGTCTTCGAGGGGACAGTCTGAAGGCCGAGAAGACAAGGGAGAGAACAGCGGAAGGATAAGTCCGATGCTTCATAGTCTCCCTTCGAGCGAAACGTTATCTGTTTCTCGATAAGAAAGGCGAGAGATCGATTTTGAAATCCTCGAGCGAATACGACGAATATTGCAATGCGTGTCTCTATAAAACATGTTTCCGATATTTTCTCGAAAATTGATTATTTTATCAAATTCTGCGGCACGCGTAAAAATTGCGTAATCAATCAATTAATAAAAATGTGTTGTGCCACACGTATATATTTCGCCTATAATTATTTATATTAATAAATGTAAAATACTCTCTAACATCGTAAATTAATAATCCGGAACTTTAAAAAATTACATATATATGTTTTTATTGCAACATGCTTATTTGAAAGAGTAATTGAGTAATTTTTGTTGGAGAAAAACGCGCGATAGCTCGTTGACATCACGTCGTGTACCAACGCTTAAATCAAATCTTTGCACATTTTTCACCATTTATGTCACTGCTGTCCCAAAAATTAGCTAACCAACCAACACACCTTGAAAAAGTAATGCAAAAAAACCGAAAGCCCTACTTTTTCACCAGCCGCGTTTATGTGCAAATATCAGTGTTTTTTCGCACAAAAAATAAACAAAATCCGCACTGCTGCTGCATCGGACGCGTGTGAAGCGCTAAATGCGCTTCTCCAAAATTCTAAATAGAATGATTCTTCATTGTCACGCAACCGAGAAATGCGCGCGCGAAAACTTCACAATAAAACACGCTGTATCATAAAATGCAGTTATTATAATCTAAGTACGCATTTCTCACGTGCAATTTTTTTAAGATTAATTTTTTTGCGTCGATAAGGATAGCAAAAAGTTTTACATTTTGTATTTACTTAATTAAAAGGTTTTTAAATTAAGTAAATCTTGCTTCATTGAAATTTTATATTCTTTATATGTGTAGTATGTACACAGTAAACAAAACTGTTAATTTTAATTTTAGTCGACCTCCACTTTTACATCTTCCAGAAGGTCTATTCCAAATTTTAAGTTAAATTAATTTATTTATCATGCGTTTACTTATTGACAAACTAGTAATGTTAACTAATTGACACAATACTTTACATTTACATTTGTTATTTTGACTTTAAATGTG